ACTACTTCGGAATCTTCTGCAACTCTTCTGAACGGCCTCCTTTTTTAAGTTCATTAATGCTGGTCATAATTCTTGCCTTCAGTTCATTTTTCGTGTCACAAGGAGTTTTTGTTGGCCTGTCTCCCAACTGCGCTCCACACATAATAATCAACAGTCTGGGGAGTTAGGTGGCCAGATTTCGAGGGTGAAGTTGTAGCAGAAAGTGTCTGACAGCCATGACTGGGTTCTTCTACTTGTGTGGCATAGTGCAGAATCCTGTTGCCAGATATAGGGTCTTCCAGCAGCCACCCTCTTGACCTCGGGCAGCACTTCCGCCTCAAGGCAGTTGATGTAGGTCTCCGTGTTCAATCTGAGGCCCTCGCCAACAAATTCAAGAGTTCTTTTCTTATCAGAACGATCACAGTAATTATTCCTTCGTAATCACCATCAGACTCACGCAACTCTTTCAGAGTTCTTGACACTGTCCTCCGATTGGCATCCAAACATTCTGAAATGTACATATTGGAGATTCCGGCGCGAAGTACAGTATGCCGTTTCCAAATTTCTGGCGGACTGAATTGCGATATGGTGCTCTTTCTCAAGCAGTCGATGCCCAACTGACCCCACTGTAATGTGCAGTCGACCAAATAAAAAAAAATACAAAGCTCATGCACGAAGTTAAAAATATAAAATGGGAACAATTAGTCTCGAACATATATATATATATACTAGCAGCATGGCCCGACTCATACAGCAATCGCTATCACTTGACTTAAAATAATTTTGCCCCTTCCTTGCCTTTAAAGGAGTGCCCTTTGCCGTGCTGATGTTGCTACATGCCTTACTTCTTGCCTATCTCACACTGCGAATTTTTTCTAAGCTCTATACTAAACATCTGTTACGAAAAAAGAACTAAAGAAAATGAACACAAAACGATCAGCTTTAAAAAAGGACTCGTAACTGGAAAAACCGAATGAAAAAAGAATGTTAACAACAAATACTTTTTCACACCCAACCCAGTTCTGCAGAATCAGAATCAACGTTGAGTTTAAGCAAGCGAATGAACCAATTGGAGTAAAGTGCCATGCAGATTTAAATTTTTCCCACTTGTGACGAATGCAGCTATCGATTTTTTTTGCATGCTAGCATGCTAGTTAACATGCTAGTTAACATTCGTGTCAGTCAGCTGTTGGCTCTCACGCTGGCCAATAAAATCTTCCTGCCTATTCGTGGCAGCCAGCTATAGGCTCTCACTCAGGTCAGTAGAAAATGGCTGCAAACTACATGAAAACTGCCGTAGAAGCATGAAAAAATCGATTATTTCCACTATCGATGGGAGTTGTGAAATGCAGAGTCGGTCTTGGCCTTCCCACTAATTTGGAGCATGTGCATGTAAATTTTGGTGCAAATCTGTCGAAAATTGCGGCCTTGCACTCGTTACACACACACACACACACACACACACACACATCCTGCCTTTTATAGAGATACTTCTTACTAATAAAGGTGGGTATAAATCTATTTCAGCCAACGCTAAGTACGTTGGTCTTAGTCAACCCCGGTCGGTAGACAGTCCGGGTTTGAATAAGACCAAGTAACTTAGCGTTGGCTGAAATAGATTTGTAAATTTAAAGAGCATAAATATTAGAAAGAATCTTTATATATACAAGTAGGAATTTAACGAAAAAAATTGCCGAAAAACATTTTCTCGTTTCTTCCTGCCTATTCGTGGCATCCAGCTATAGGCTCTAACTCTGGCCAGTAGAAAATGGCCGCAAACTACATGAAAACTGCCGTAGAAGCATGAAAAAAATCGATTATTTCGGTCCGGGGTTTGAATAAAAAAAAAAAAAGAAAGAAACCAGACGACATGATATAAATTTGCGTCCAGGCTCTTCTAATATATCGCCATTCTTGGTAGATTTTATATTGTCACAGTTTAGGAAAGGCGGGGTCAAAGGTGATGGGAGAAAAAAAGGAAAACAATGCAGATAAATTCGGCTAGATTGAAAAAAGTATTCTTTCAAACATATATATATATATATATATATATATATATATATATATATATATATATATATTAAGACATTTCTATGTTTATACATTCTTTTATAGATACAAATATTTAAGTAAATGCTCTGTTATATAATAAACAGTATTAATAACATTTACCGCCCTGAATGTCCGAGAAATCTTCGTCCTTCGACATGTATCGAACCTGTAACCTATACTAAACCGTCATTTAAAAGCCTGACGTGCTTTAACCGATCGAGCCTTCTTCTTCTTCTTCTTCTTCTTCTTCTTCTTCTTCTTCTTCTCTTTTCTCTCTCCCTCACTATGTCTCACTGTCTCGTTTTCTCTCTCCTCTCTCTGCTTCTTTGTTTATTTCTCTTTCTTTCCTTCCCTCTGTCAAGTTTTCTCTCTCTCTCTCTCTCCCTTCTTTTTCCCGCTTTTTGTTTCTCTTTCTATATATATCTCTCACCATGTCGCTATTTCCTTTCTTTCTCTCTCTCTCTCTATCTCTATCTCTCTGTGTCCTTCTTTCTCTCTCTCTCTCTCTCCATGTCGCTATTTCTTTCTCTCTCTCTCTATATATATATATATATCTGTCTCTCTCTCTCTTTATTTCACTATTTTTCTCTCTCTCTATCTATTTCTCTCAATTTCTCTCTCTACCTCTTTATTGTTTTGTCTCTGCTCAAAAGAAAACAACCTCACACAAAATGAGCGTATTTTTTCGCATAGACAAACTAAAATATACTATTTATATCTACTTGTATATCTATTTGTTTTCTTGCTTGCTTGCTTCTTTTGTTCAATTATTTGTTTGTTCATTCGTTCCTTTGTTTCTTTGTTTACTGTAAGTGAAATAAAGATGAAGATCATATGTTTAGTGAACCTGTAAGCGTCCCTAACTCGATTTCATTGCCGGCGAATCAGACACACACACACCTTTGAGCCAATGCCTGCAGCGAAGCCTAATAAAAGACGTTAATACAATAATAGGCGCAGTTGATTCGATCATCCCTATATAATAAGTGACCTTCTAACAGAATTCAGCAAGCGTAGAAATAGGGGTCGATTCGGGCCCTGTCGAATTGCGTCCGAAGACATGTCTTCATTTCATTTTCTCTCCGAGATAGCAGACTCTGAAAATAACCTTGACAATATATCTTACATTTTTTATTTACTATTACTACTACCATTATTATTATTATTATTATTATTTGCCTTATTTATTTGGTTTGCTTTTTGTTAGCTTTGAAAAAAGATAGTGTCATGAGGTTCGTACACTCACTACACATCCCGGAACCTTTTAGTTTTAACTTCTCGAGTTGACCTATTATTTCTCCAACAGATAGGCAGCCATCTTTTTACTAACGCCATCTTGTGAATAGCCACCATCTTATTTGCGCAGAAGCCATATTTTTATGCTGACAGCGTTTGAAAGCAATAATTTAATTGGACGAACTTTGAGCATAACGCTTGCCTAACAACATCAAGACTTTAAATACCTGTCAAAATGGGGATTCCACATTTATTCCGTTAATAATTGACTAAGTAAACGAGTGTGCGACCATCGGAGTTCTTTCCGTGAAATAAGGCATTTTGGGAAATATTTGGTCACCATTTTCGGACGATATGAACTCTTTCTCTCTCTCTCTCTCTCTCTCTCTCTCTTACTGAGATGAGCTGTTGTAACTATTTATAAAGCCCAGGCTATAAAATCTTTGTTTGAGTAAATCCAAAAAGCGACTTGGCGCAAAGAATTTGGAGTTCAATACCTGGCCACGGCAGAAGGAACAAAAACTTGGAAAGTGGAGGAAACGAAATTAACTGAAACTGAGATATCTATAAAAAAAAAAAAAGAAAAAAAAGGGGCATGACACGTGGAATTAGAACAATCTACCAGCGGGGAGTAAATAAAGAGTTCGAGTTGAAATTTCAACGTATATCACCCGAAGTAGGTAGGAGCGTACAACATCCGAAACGTCGTGAATATGGCAATAGAGATGAAGACAACAGTCCGAACAATGTGAAGAGTTGTCCGAAACACTGCTACATAATATAATGTTCTATTTCAGATGGCTAAGACGAACTGCTTCAGTTTGGAGCGAGGAAGGGGGTGACAAGACATTCGGACCAGCCTGTAGATAGTGAGAATATGGAATCTGTTACATTGGAGAAATTTTTACAGGTCTTGTTACTGGCATACCACTCTGGTTATCCCATTTGTTAAAGTGTAAGCCGGAGAGAAAAATAAATAATTTGGTAAAATGATAATTATAGTAAGTTTCCGTGCCGAACTAATTGAAGTGGGGGGAGGAACTCTGTGGGTGTGGAATCCTGAAAGTGATGGGTTTTCTTTGTCGAAATATTGGCATATAGTTGGAGAGAAAATGAAAGAAAAATAAAGGGGCGAATTCGATGAGTTCGAACTCTGACCTAGTCTTCGCCTAATATAACTAGTCGACCTTTTGACATTCCTCCTACCTCTCTCTTCCCTATCTTTCCCTCTGTCCGTCTCTCTCTCTCTCTCCACCTCTCTCCCACCCCTCCTTTTCCCCCGCTCCCTCTCTCTCTCCTCTCTTTCTCTCTCTCGCATCTCTTTCTTTGTCCCTCTCTCCCTCTCCCTCTCTTCTTCTCTCTCTCCTCTCTTTCTCTCTCTCCCCCTCACTCCAATTTTTTCTCTTTCCCTCTCTATCTCCCCTCTCTTTCTCTCTCTCCCTCTCTCCTTCTCCCTCTCTCTCCCCTCTCTTTCCCTCTCTCCCTCTCCCTCTCTCTCCTTCTCCCTTTCTTTCCCCTCTCTTTCTCTCTCTCCCTCTCCCTCAATCTCTCCTTCTCCTTCTCTTTCTCTCTCTCTCTCTCTCTTTCTCTCTCACGCTTCCTCCTTGAAACATTGCCCACTACATCCCCGCCACAATAAAGCGATTCAAAAGAAAGACGAGCAAAACTATCTGTCGTTGGCCAGTGGATAAAAAACCTTGGCTGAGTAATCCAAAAAGTGACTTAACCCAACGGGTTGTGGGTTCAATACCTGGCTACAGCAGAGGTAAACAAAAACTTAGAAAATTGAGTTAGTAAAGCGAATTAACCGAGATATATATATATATATATATATATATATATATTGTCAACGAGGATTTTCCGGAATTGAGTTAAAACAACATGCCTGCCCACGTACTCAATTGGGCTTGAAACTTGAAATCAATAAACAAAAACTAAATATTCTTGAAGTTATATAAATAAAACAGTGGAAACGTAACCCAAACAAAATAAACTACGAAGTCTCCACAATATTCTTAAATGTCTATAATTGATAACAGAAGCCATTGGTTTATACCAACGGCTTCCCATACTTAATACTTCTCGTTTCTCCCTCTCGCGTGGTCATGTGTGACGTCACGAGCTGCGATGCGATTTTCGCTTCCGCCTCTCGTATATACGAGTTTGTCGTTGCTTTGAAATTTTTCATGCAACGAGGACGGACTATCGTTGTTGCTTCGTCCGTGTGTTGTTTGATATGTTGAAATTGTCATCTTCGATAATGGCTTATGTAAGCCGAAAGCTTAGATTGGATTTAAACGTGGACTAAATAAAAGGGTTCTCTTCGAAATTCCAACGTCTATCACCTGAAGAAAACCGGAGCGTAGAACGGTCGAAACGTCATGAACCTGACAGTAACAATGAGAACGACAATCCGAACACTATAGATAATGTCAATGAATAATCTTCTGTAAATTCACATGATCCTAAATTTGTCTGTGTGTCCCCATCTTACATCAGTAGAATAGAATAGCTAATATATTTAACTAGAACAATCTACTCCGTGGACTAAATAAAAGGTTCTGCTCGAAATTCAAGCGTATATCCCCTGAAGAAGGTCGAGTCGTACAAAAGTCTGGTGATGCAGCGTTGGGTTCCCTACTGAGGATTTGCCGACAGACAACGAGAATCCGGAGACGGCGTGTAACGCAACACTGGACTTAAGTAACAGCTAAGGTTGTTTTTTTTTCTGATAGAGCGACTTTCTCTTAGATCAGTTATTCTTAACGTGTTAAGTCACGATACCTTGAAGCTCCCAAGTTTCAACGGAGTTGAAGGCTTTATCGTTTTTTTGTTTTTTTTTAAAGAGAATAGTAATATTATTAAAAACCTATGATATCTGAATGGAACAAGTTACATTTTATCTATGCATTTGTCTACCATTTTACTTACACATTGTATCAAATAATACTTTTACAATGTTTGTAGGTGGGTTCCTCGCGCTAAACAAGGACAAAAGTGCATATAAATATATGCCTGCAAATCCTTCGTTTCTCAGTTATTAAGTTGAAAGAAAGTTTACGGTAGATGGCGCTGTATTGTCATGTAGACTAGGTTACATTTGTCACTCGTGTACATTTTTGTTAGTCTGTCTTCAACATTTAAGTTATTAAGTTGAAAGAAAGTTTACGGTAGATGGCGATGTATTGTCATGTAGACTAGGTTACATTTGTCACTCGTGTACATTTTTGTTAGTCTGTCTTCAACATTTAAGTTATTAAGTTTAAAGAAAGTTTACGGTAGATGGCGATGTATTGTCATGTAGACTAGGTTACATTTGTCACTCGTGTACATTTTTGTTAGTCTGTCTTCAACGTTTAAGTTATTAAGTTTAAAGAAGGTTTACGGCAGATGGCGCTGTGCTGCCATGTAGAGTTGGTTACATTTGTTATTCGTGTACATTTGTGGCGAAAGGAGTTAGACACAAATGTACATTTATTTTAATTATCATCCTTGGACTTGAAAGAAGTCCAAGGGTGATAACTAAAATAAATGGACATAATATAAAAAGGGCTTAATACTGAGTATAGCTTAATAGTATTTATTTTATGAGATTAAAATAAAAACATTTTTAAAATCGCTATACAATAGCTTTCATGTTTCAGCACTCAAATTGTGACTCCTCAGACGATTTTTTTTTTAAATTTCAAAAGCAGATAACGACAAATCAATATGTAAATGAGTCTTGTGGGTTTACCCTGATTAACCAATTAATTGTCAGGCCTACACTACATATATATATATATATATATATATAATTAAATCATCGAGTCTGATAGAAATCTCAACAGAATGCAGAAAGCACTGGACAGCCGTTTCGTCCGATATTTGGGACTCATCAGCAGTGCGCATCCACTACCGAGAATTGAAACCCTGACAGTTAGTTTGTCAAACAAACGTCATACCAACTGTTCCAATGGGCCTCGGTGACGAAAAGATTGCAAATCAGACTCAATATAGCGCTGCTCGCTCACATATTCCGTGGTGGAACTCTTACTGAGTTCTCTGTAACCATAGGACTGTGCCCACTGGAGCCACGACTACTCTCACCAAGCCGCTCACTCTAGAGCACTAGAAACCGGTTCAAGCAATGATATACACAGATAGAAATTATTAGGAAGATTTGATAATTATTTGCAATCAATCTGCTTTCTGCATTTTTGTTGAGGTTTCTATCAGACTCGATAAATTAATTATATATATATATATATATATATACAGGGTTTCAGCCTACCTACATTGTTCGACTGTTGATCACACCAGAAACTGTGACTTAGAGCAATTTAGCATAGTCGAAATAGAAACCAAAGTTTCACTCGGTCGGTGATGAGCAGGCATAAATTTGCCTGAGCAGGCGTCTTCAACAGGGATTTGCTAGCAGCCCCCCCCCCCACGCAAATTGTTATAGTCGGAAACGAGGTTCCAGCTATTTACATGCACACCGACGAGTGGATGGCCAAGGCGAGCCCAGAATTTGGAGGAAGTTTGAAATGGAGAATGGAGAGCCCCTTGCCAGGTCTGCTTGAATTTATACGGTATTCGTACAGATAATGATGTTGATGATGGTGGTGGTGATGGTGGTGGTAATGATGTTGATGATGATGGCGGTGTTGCTAGTGGTGGTGGTGATGATGATAATGGTGGTAATGGTGATAATGATGATGGCGGTTGTGGTAGTAGTGTTGGTGATGGTGGTAGTGGTGATGATGGTGGGGATGGTGGTGGGGGTGATGATGATGGTGGTGGTAATAGTGATGATGATAATGATAGTGGTGGTGGTGGTGAGGGTGATGATGATGGTGGTGGTAATAGTGATGATGATAATGATAGTGACGGTGGTGGGGGTGATGATGATGGTGGTGGTAATAGTGATGATGATAATGATAGTGGTGGTGGGGTGATGATGATGGTAGTGGTAATACGGTGGTGGTGGGGGTGTGATGATGATAATGATAGTGACGGTGGTGGTGGGGGTGATGATGATGGATAGTAACGGTGGTGGTGAGGTGATGATGATAGTGATGATGATAATGATAGTGGTGGTGGTGGTGGTGGATGGGGTGATGATGATGGTGTAATAGTGATGTGATAATGATAGTGGTGGTGGTGGGGGTGATGATGGTGATGTAGGATGGTAATAGTGATGATGATGATGATGGTGATGATGTGTGGTGGTGGTGGGGGTGATGATGATGGTGGTGGTAATAGTGATGATGATAATGATAGTGGTGGTGCTGGTGATGATGATAGTGATGATGATAATGATAGTGGTGGTGGTGATGATGATGGTGGTGGTAATAGTGATGATGATAATGATAGTGGTGGTGGTGGTTATGGGGGATGATGATGATGGTGGTGGTAATGATGATGATCATGATAATGATGATAATGTGGTGGTGGTGGGGGTGATGATGATGGTGGTGGTAATAGTGATGATGATAATGATAGTGGTGGTGGTGATGATGATGGTGGTGGTAATAGTGATCATGATAATGATAGTGGTGGTGGTGGTTATGGGGTGATGATGCTGGTGGTGGTAATAGTGATGATGATAATGATAGTGACGGTGGTGGTGGTCATGCTGATGCCGATAAGTTCTCAGTCCGATCAAGAAGTGATTTCAAAGGCAATTTTAATTGCTTGGTCAAATTTTTGGAATTAGGTGTGACTGAGAACTTTTCAGAATCCACTCCTATGTCCATCGATCATTTACGTTACCACTATTTGCATGTTTGTGTGTGTGTGTATGTATGTGTGTGCATGTGTGTGTGTGTTTTTGTGTGTGTGTGTGTGTGTCCATAGATATATATCAATAGACTGAGGAAGAAAGGAAGAAATGCATAAATTGATAAAACTAGTAACCAGCATGAGAAAGAAAGGAAAAAATAGATAGATAGATAGATAGATAGATAGATATAAAGAGTGATATAAATAGATAGATAGATATGAACAGATTGAGAAAGAAAGACAGAAAGAAAGAAAGAAATAAAGAAACAGTGACCAGAATAAGAGATAGATAGATAGATAGATAGATAGATAGATATGAACACAATGAGATAGATAGATAGATAGATAGATAGATAGATAGATAGATAGATATGAACAGATTGAGAAAGAAAGAACGAAGTAAAGAAACAGTGACCAGAATGAGAATGAGATAGATAGATAGATAGATAGATAGATAGATAGATAGATAGATAGATAGATATAAAGAAAGAAAGAAAGAAAGAACTTAAGCAGAAACTGGGTTGCGATAGAATTTCATTAATCTTATTCTCGTCTCTGACTGTCTTGAAAAATATATATGGCCAATTTTCCCACAAGGGTTGGACTGGCTTCTGTGTCTTCATCAAAATACGAGTCTTGAATTCGACTCACTTTACCAAAACTTTTGGTGACGGGATGGATCTCTGCCATCCGGAAGATATCTAATGAAACCTTTCAGCATTCTTATCCGCAATTCGAATATGTACCCCTTCTCCGAAAAGCGCACATTCTTTCTCCAACCTACAAATGGTTGTTTAAAAATACGAAATAACTCAAATGAAGCTGATTTCGGACAATGCTTTTCAACCGTTTTTCCTTCCTTAGCCAAAACAA